CGGCCCCGGGGCCGGGCCCCCGGGCGGGGGCCGCGGCTGCTGGGTCCTCGGGGGGCGCCGCCCTCCTACCGGGCCGGTGCGGCTCCGGGCGGGGCCCGGGCGAGCTTCCCTGCGGGGTTTCACAGGTCCCGGCATCAGCCCCCCCCAGGGTCGGGCATGGCCTGAGAAACTCCGTGTTTTAATTTGGAACAAATTCAGTTTGAAGTATAAAGGCGTTTTTCTTTAAGTCTTGTGTGTGTGCATTTTCCAGTGTTAACTAGCGTCCTCGTTCTCTTTCTATTTTTATTTTCAGGTGTGGGAATGTTAATTTTGCTAGAAGAACCAGCTGTAACAGATGTGGAAGAGGTGAGTATCTTAGATGATATATGTTTTTCTCCTTGTCTATTTCTGCCTTTTTAAAAGAAAAGAATATTAAATCTTTTCAATTCATTATAAAGCAAGATGTTTGAGAACTGTTTGTTCTTTGGGTTTTTGTTTTTTTCTTTTCCAGAAAAAACGACAGAAGCCAAAATGATGAAAGCTGGAGGGACTGAAATAGGAAAGACACTTGCTGAAAAGAGTCGTGGCCTCTTCAGTGCTAACGACTGGCAGTGTAAAACGTATGCCCTTTTAAAAAATGCAGAGTGTTCTCTTACAGCCACACAACACATCTACAATATGATACTTAATTTTGTCAGCATAAATTTACTTGTACTGATGAGAGAAAAGTGATCAAAACTCGCAGCTAGTAATGTTTTGCTGTGAGGATAGCATTCATTTTTGTTTGCTGGACAGCAGTTACTTAATTAACATGACTGTAAAAAGACCAAAAAATAAAGAGTAGAAAGGTAAAAGTTCATGTTTTTCTGTGATAAGCCAAGGCACTCCTCAGGCTCAGAAGAAATGCGTAAATGGAAGTAACACCTTCATTGCAGTATGATATTTTATTGTTAACATTCACTAAATATTTAATGAGTAAAGTTTAGCACAGAGTTAAATTCTTAGATGTTTCTTCAAGCCATTAATTGAGAATATTAAGATCTAAATTAGAAAAGGCCTACTTTAATAAAAATTTCTTATTTTTGAAAGGTGCTTTCAGTTTTTCTGGAGCACTTATAAGGATTTCAGTTTTTGCTGATTGGGTAAGCTGTCTGACCAGTGAAACCTGGATTTTTAAATTTTTTTCTGTTAGAACTTAACTGTTAATTAGCCTGATGGTTTAGTTTAGCTGAACTTAGCCTGATGGGTTTCCATTTGCGCTGTTCTGCAGCGCGAGATCGGCAGATTTCCTGGTCAGTGCCGTGGGTCCCAATGTCTGAGGGAATCCACTTGATGGCACGCCTCAGGATTGTCGTGTCTTTCCAAGTTCATAGCTAGGCTATGCCTTATGGACCTCCTCCTCTCCTCTTTGGGACTGAGCAGCATCCTGATGATAGTGTTACAGATGGATGAAGTATGAGTGGCCTTTTAGGATGCTGTAAGATAAAAATGCAGTAATGGAAGCATATAACTGTAGCTGTGCATCGGTGGATGACAATGACTGCTCATAAGCATTATTCCCATGGTAGCTTCTTCATTAACTCCTCTGAACTGTGAACGCCACTAGTGGAGAGTAATGAGAAATTTTAACACTTTTGTGTAGTCTTATTTCTGTTAACTTGCCTGCCTACCTGCCTGTTAATTTTACCTCTTTCCCCTTGATTTGTCCAGTATGGTCATCTTCTGATCATCCTCATGCTGGTGAAGTACCTATAGACTCTCTTGCAGTTCTTGTGTCTTGGTGACTGTTGGCCTTGGAGTTAATTGTATTATACTAGTGACTGCACATCACTGCTAAAACTTGGCAAATACATTTTTATTGTTTTTTTTAACTGTTGCCTCAACACTGAAGCTTTTTGATTTGAAATAAATGTTTCTTACTTCTGTTTTGTTCTTTTTGCCTTTGAAGATGTGGTAATGTGAACTGGGCCAGGAGATCAGAATGTAACATGTGTAATACTCCAAAGTATGCTAAATTGGAGGAAAGGACAGGTAAGATATATATGGTTTTAAAATACTCAAATTACTGTAAGAAAACTTTTTTATAAGTTGCAATGTAATTTAATTAAAGGGATTGTTTTCACAGCAGAACTAGCAAAGTTGAATTGATCTTCCGTATGTAAATAAATCTGTAGGTTCTTAGACTTGATTGCGTCTAGTAGTGTGTAAAGTATGTGATGGTTTCATTTGGAAAGTCAACGAATATTCAGCTTAAACTGCCTCTATACTTGATTTTGATACTAAGATGTTTGGAAGGAGTAATGCAATATTTTATTAAACTCCAGAAGGTCTAGTGTATATATAGTCTTCATCTACAGAGGACTCAGCAGTCACAAGAACAGTGTTTGAAGGCTATGTAGATTAGACTGTTCTCTTTTAATGAGGTTTGAGGTTTGGTCATACTGTGACACATTTCAAGTTCCTCCTGCATTAACAATGAACCCAGTGGTAACTAGAACAGAGGATATCCTTACAGTGCAGTCGTAACTATTTATACTGTTACCACCGCAAATGGGATCAGGCAGAGAATTTAACGCATAGCGTGTAACGCTAATCCATATAGAAAAAGAAGCACGGAGAAGAGTACAGAGCTTATAATTCAAAAGGAAAAAGAATTTTTTTAATGTTCTTATTTCATATTGTAATAATATTAAAAAATAATGTTTAGTTGTATTTCATATAATATTTCATATAATTAAATATTTTTATTATTTAATTTTAAAGAA